GGGGAGGATGATGGAAAGTTAAATGTGAGGACAGGTTGGCTCTTCTCTGTGCCTCAACCCTGAAGTGCAATGCAAAGACCTTAAAATGTGCAGAACCAATCTGCAGGATGTTGTATGGGTGGCCAGCTGAAACATGTAAACCTGGAGCAGCTCAGAGGCGTACCTGGGGGAGAAAGACTCCTGAATGAAGGAGACAGCGTTCAGAAGAGGGGTCCAGGATGGAGCACCCCATTTGGCAAGACCCAAAGGGTGTCAGCAAGGAGGGTGCTCGCATAGCCTAATGCTTTCAGGCTCCCTCCAAACCAAACCAAACCAAGCCAAGCCAAGCCCCACGAAAGGGCTCTGCTTGAACACGAGGCTAGTGGGGAGAGCAGACAAATCCCTCCTGGGCCCAGGGCAGGGAGTGGTGCCAGCCCGTGCAAACCACCTCCCCGCGGAAGGGCAGCGCTGGAGCCCACCCCATTTCTGGCAGCAAAGGGTGCAGCAGCCTGGAGCATCACTGACCGGGGTGGGCTTACACCCCCCTGCCAGCTCAGGAGCCCCAAGTGCTTTCAACATCAGGGGTGAGACTCCTGCAAAGCTCCATTTTTAAGCTATTGTCTGATTCAGTGCTTGTGTCGCAAGCAGGGATGAATGCATCTGCCACAACCAATTCTGCATGACCAGACTTCACCTTCCCTGACTTAATTTGACGCTCTGAGAAAATTAGATGTTTTGCCACTTCTGTGGAAAAAAGGCGAGCTCTGAAGGTAATTTGAAGGCTTTGATGCTGCTCTTCAGTCATGCGGGCACCACAGCAGCGCTGCCTGGACTGACCACGGGCTGGGGGTGAGTCACTGAATCCTCATGCACCGCGTGTGAGCCTGCGGCAAACGGCTGTGTCTGTGCATGGACACCACCATCCCTCAACAAATTTTAACTTTAATAACCCCAACACTACAGGTACCCAGCAGTGGAGGAGTTTGGCAAAGATTATAGTACAGCAGTGCCTAAAAGTGCTTAAGTACACACTAGGACCTGGGTCCGAATTTGAATTTGATGGCACTGGAAAACATGAAAGCTGTGCCCAAGGCCACGTGTGCACAACAGACATGCAAACTGCACCCTTTGAAAGTGGTTTTAGACCTCCCCCTCTGAGACATTACTGCTTTTTAGGCCAGCGGTGGAAGGTTTTCACCCCAGGTTACTCGCAGCAGCCCAGAGAAGGGCTGGGGATGGGAGGACGGACACAGCTGCCTCCCTCCCACACAGGAATTTGCACTTGGGTTTAGCTCTAACCCAAACATTGTAACCCAGCATTCAGCAAGTTGCTAATTATTTACTCTTCAGTGCAGAAAATAAATCCCCAAAGCAAACACAAGAAGTTAGGACACTCCAGGTATTTAAGATGGACACTCCAGTGCAAGGACCTCCCAGCTCTGTCCCCACCCAAATCCCACCGCGATCCACATCCACACGAGATGGGATTTTTGCAGCAGCAGCACTCCCCGAGCAGCAGCGCAGGTGACTGTCGCAGGACAGCATGGGACTGAGCCTTTCCTCGAACACAACGCAGCAGCTCAGGCCAAGGAGACCTCACCCAAAGGGAGAGGGTCAGGGAGCGGCTGCATTTCACAAACATGTTCACCCTCGGCACAGTTTGGGTGAGTCCCGAGAAGCGAGAGCCTGACACCAACCTTTGCTGTAGGTGCGTCCTTCCGAACCACAGCGAGACCAGCTCATGGAGCAGAGTTGCTCCACGCCAAAGGGGTGGCCCAGGCAGGTCCTGGGAAGGAGAAGGGAGCAGAGACCCAGGTTTCCACTGCCCAGCACCTCCAGATCAGAGCAGGGAAGGGAGGAGAAGGCAAAGCAGCCACTAGGAGCTGCTGTTCCTGCCTCGGCCCTGGGAAAGCTCAGAGCACAGAGGCTGCTGCTCACCCATTTCTGCTCCGCCACTTTTGGGATCACTGTCTGCTTCCTGCTCTGCTCTTCCTCTTGAGCTTCCCAGTACGCACTGGGTGCCCCACCATCCATTTCTCCCACCCGGATTAGAAAGTGCTCTTTGGCAGACAACCCTACCTCCTGCTGTTCTTAGGCTTGAAAACAGCAATCCAGTCCTGAAGAGAAAGAGGAGTATCCACATACAATCAAATTGCATGAAATCACTCCTTTAAGTGAGCGAACTCCCAGGTTACATCCCCAGCTGAACAACACATGTATCAGTGCTTGTGGCTCTAACGGGGCTGTTGACAAAAGCTATGTGTATGCATCTTTTTCCAGTAACTAGTTCCGCTCACTGCTTCTGCAGCTGCACAAGGACTTCCCACACCTGAATTCCAGGGACTGCAGCCCTTTGCTGCCAGATGCATGTGACATGGGCTGCCAGCCGAACCTGCAACCAGCACAGATAACAGAGCCACAAAAGCCACAGAGAACTCACTGACAGTGCTCACCTGGGCAGCTCAGATGAGGCAGCCATGATTTCCCCCAGTAACACACCACCTTCAGTTTAAAATGCCCCCAATTCTTGTTTTAAAGGAGGCAGACCGTTATATAGGAGCTCCCAGACCAGACTGTCACTATCCCATGTGTCACCTCTCATTTCTCTTTAAACTGTCTGGTTTATCTCACACTAATAATTTTTCACACATCCCATTAGTCCCTCCAGACTCATCTGTTGTCACCTCAGAGCGCACAACCAAAACTGAACATCACCCGACACAGGTGTATCACTGACAGTGGGGCCAAGGGCCATGATGTACATCTCATTCCTACTTTAATAATGTGATGGTACCAGGCCTGGCTAGCTCAGCCTATAATTAAAATTCCAGTGCTAAGCCCAAAGATACTCCACAGGAAAAGCTGATTGAAAGCAACAATCTTGACCATTTGCTGGAGGTTCCTGTCTGAGGGCAATCAGGTAGCCTACTTGCCAATTGATCCATGGAAAGAGAGCAAACACTTCAAAGCAAACACTGCGGCCTGATGAAAGAGCAGAGCAATAGGGAAGATTTCCAAGCACCATAAACCAGTGCTCTGCATCTCGCTCCGGCTGCTCCAAACGCACCACTGGGCAGCTCCAAGGAACAGTTTGTTCTGGCACATCAGACACGGCACTTGTCTGCGCTGTTCCTGAGCCTCACCTTTGCCACTCCAAGCTCTATTATTGAGGCTTTCATCCCTGCAAACTTTGTGAGTCTGGTTTTCATCACACATGTGACCTGAGTAACAGTATTCTTTTTTCCTTTTTTCACACTAGATGTTTTCCTAGTGCTTCATCAGCGCCTTCCACATTAAGTCACAACTCTGCTTGCAAACCCCACCCTACTCACTTCCCAATAACATGACATCAAAACAAATAATTCATTACCTCTGAGTGGTGCACGTTGTCACCTGAACCTTCAGGCAGCAGATCCTCCTCCAGAACCCACTGGCCATTCTCCAGGGGTTAAGTACCCCCAGGTGATGGCGTGACCTTGATCCTCTGAATGCTTCTGAGGCAGACTGCTTGATGTTCTCAAGGCTCAACATAAACTACACACCTCACAGGTCAGGAATAAAACTTTATTGTTTTCAGATTTCTTATCTTCGTTCAACTCACCAGTTATCTGTCAAAAGATGTTTGACACAGAGGCCAATTGCTCTTACATTTTTGTAACCAATTAGAAAGTGGCCGCAGCACAAATTTCACTGGAATCAATCCAGGCACCACACAGATTTGTGGTAGGAAAGCAGAAAGCAGTTTGGTTTGCAAACCAAACAGGAAAACAGTTCTCAAAGTGATCCAATATAAAAGCTGAAAAGGAGAAGCTCAGAGTAATGTACACAGAAAGAGGTACCATGAAGCAGATCACACAGCTGATAGCCTTTCCTTGTCTAAAAGGAACAGGCTTTATGGGGAAATCTGCCATTCAAGACTCTCTTTTCTAGAAATTGTCGCCTGATAAATAAATAGTGTTGGATGTTTCTTTCAGCTCTGCACTTCCCCTTTCTCTTGCAAAATCCCCTGGGCATGCAGAGGCAAATGGAATCACCAGAAATTCCCATTTTGTTTCCACATTGCAAAAATCAAACACAAACAAGTTCCCTTTCCTTCTCCTACCTCTTTCTGAGTACAGACTCCTCTTGAAAGATGCTTTGTACTTTCAGAACTCACGAATCGGATAAACTTGGAACAAAGAAGTAAACATTCATATTAAAATAATGGGAATTGTTAATTCTCCCCCACCTTGCATGGAAAATTCCCACGACAACAATCGGATCATTTAAAACAGTTCTGGTTTCCACTCCTATTAACTCCAATGCCTAAAAATGGACAAACAACTCAAGGACAGCCAGTGCAGAAGTTAAGGCAGCCAGAACAAACCACTGTCACCTTCCAGCTACAGACTGTGCAAAAACCCACACACTGCTGGTGGAAACTTCCAAATGCTTTATTTAGAAACAGTTTTGCCCATGTGCTGTGGTTTTTTCCCCCCTCTTTAATTATCACTATAATGAAACTACCTGAATTTTGGCAGTGCCTATCACCATAGCACCTGGGCATTTTATAAAAAAAAAAAAAAAAAAAGCTGTCTGGTATGACAGAGAGGATCTATCAGTCGGGAACCTGCTGGTCTCCTGTTGCTTATTTCTCATTTCAGGTGTATCTAGTGACCAAGGATGAGGAAAAAGCAACAGATTATCCCCTTGTTTTCAGGCAAGGTTTAGATCAGAAACAAAATGAACACTGAGAGACCCAACTTCCCATTAAGAGCAAGCAGCTGCTTCTAAAGCCACCCATGAAGCTCATTGCCAGGAAAAGCCTCATATGAATAGGTTCTATGCTGTATTTAAGTATTAAAACGTGTAGCAATAAAGAAGGATCCTATCAGCCCAGAGTACAAATTCAGGTTATACTCCACTGTAACGGCTAACCATCAACATTTGGAAAAGTATGTGCCATCCTTACCAATAAGGACAGAGGCTCCATTTTGTCACTTCTGAATGTCACATTTTTAAAAAATACAGACACTTCTGGGAGTCAAAAGGGAAGGAGAAGTTAGGCCCCTTGGCTGCTGTTTCATAGCTTTCGTGTAGGCAGCCTCACCTTGCTGGTTTAGTTCTGCATCTACTTTTGCCTCTGTTTCCCCATCACACCCAGATTTCTAGACCAAAATACCAAATTATAGTGTCAAATAAGGGGGCAGAGGGAGGAATCAAGTTATACCTATGCCCAGGTCCATGGCAAGTAAATGTGTACCGGCACTGAACAGGCCACTGGTCAAAAAGCAAGCTCCAACTTCTCCAAGCAGAATGGAAATTCTCTGTGCTTCAGATTATTTTCAGCTATTTATAGTGTGTACATACGTTTCTGAACAGATCGTTTAATACAGAGGGAGAGAATGTAAGTGCACAGACACATACACAGGACACAAGGGAAGATGGTGAAACCTCCCTCTGTTGCTTTCAGGTGCAGATATTTGTGTCCTAGAACCTCTTGGAGTTCCTCCTTCAATACAGAATAAAACCTGTGTTCCTCAGGGGGTCCTGGTTAACTTTTGAATCCAAAGATGCCCTTTATATATCCTGTGAGGCCACTCTTGGCCTTCTGCTCCACCTTGTCCTCCAGAGGTGGGAAAGCAACATGATTAAGGGCCAGGTCAAAGAACAAGGGTTTGCATGGAATGGGCTGGAAGCCCGGAGGGAAGTGCACAAGGCTGACTTGCTTGCTGACAAGAGAAGGATCCAGACAAAAAGTCTCAAACCGTTCCGAGAGTGGCTGAAAGAGACCAATGTAGAAACAAAAATTAAACACACATCAAACCAAAGCTGTCAAGGGTCAAACAAGCAAAGAGGATTAAGCAGCAGCAGAGACAACAGAAGCTGAAGTTCCCTTATGTGACATCTTGAGCCCTTGAAAATTTTTTGAACCCCTGTCAAAGCATTGCTGCAGAATCTCTGGAAAACCTTCCCCAGTGCAAGGAGAAAGCTAAATTGAAAAAAAAAATAAATCAAGATGCCACACTAGAAGCTGCAAGCAGCAGCCTAGTTTCCACCCAAGGAACACCACGGTGTCAGCCACCTTTAGACTTGCAGAAGGAAAGCAAGCCTAATAAAAATATCCTAAATCCACTAGTCATGACCAGACTCCAGTCAGCGTGACATCTATGCAGTTGTAAGCAACACTCAGCTAACACGTTAAAAGTAATATTCATTAAGAACATTACTGGAATTTGCCTGAGCTCTCAGCTCTTACCTTGCCATCCTTGACCTGAGATGGAGACTCAGTCTCATGAGTATCATTCGCATCTGCAAAATTAAGAAACAGCGGTACGAATAACAGGCTAGAACTTGGCATAAATTAAGACTGTCTCAGGAGTCAGCTGTGCTCTAAGCTTAGCTATGAACCTTTCTTGCTGGGATATGCAAGACAGTATTTTCGGTAGAATCAACCTGCTTTCTAGACTAAGAGGATCACACATACTAATCTACAGCCAACACAGCTCTCCAGTGATGGAGAGTTTCTTCATCACGTTGTCACAAGAAGCTCCTGAATGAAGCAGAGATTTTGAGCTAAGCACAAAGCAGGAGACGATGTTCACAAAGAAATCACAAAGTTCATCCATTCCCTCAGAATTCCCCTAACCTGGTCAACACCAACAAAAAGCAGAACATCCCTGCTCTCCCAGTTCTCAGTAGTTCTCCCAGGTAGGTGAAATTGGGATGAATAAGGCCAACTTGGTTGCAATTAAAAAAAAACTAACCAGAATGTCTGTGCAGGTTACCAAAATAGGTGCACATCCTCACAAAGAGGTTTCACATCTCTGGGTGAGGAGCAAGATGCCAAATGTCTAGTCACTGGTTGCCTAGCTGCACTACACACAGCTAGAAGCAGCTAGAACTAAGGGGGAGGGGGACGGGACAGACATTTTCCAGAGCCTACATATATCAGAGTGAAGTGGAAAAACATTTGGAACTTCAGAAATGAAATAAAAGGAATTAAATAGCTGCAGGGGCATTACTCAAGAGACGTTCAAACTGTAGAATAATTGTGTAACTCACCCAATATCGCTGCTGCTTGTAAGGAGTATTTCTCTGCATTGACTTGAGTGATCAGATCCTGAACATCAGGCAGCTCCTAGGTCATTAAAGAAAATTATGAAAGCCTCAAATCTGCCAGAGTTTAAGAGTTAGGGCAAAGGTAAAATCTAACAAAGTAAGAACTAAGAAATCAGCTCCTAGTGCTGATAAGCCTTCCCAGAAGAGGAAAAGCTACAGTACAGTCCTTCAGGCACTATAGGAGTAGCATAACAGTAGATGTGAGAAAACATGGTAAATTGTTAGGAGTCGCTACAGCAAGTCTGACTTTCCTTCAAAGCAAGTGGCCAGCTGAAGCATTTCCACATCACTAGAAAGCATCTACTGTAATGTGTCAAGAAGTCACATTCGTATTACTCTTCTCCCTACTTAAAGATCAGTCTTAAGTTGTAAAGGTCTGGCATCTAAGTGACAAAATACAGGGACGGAGCATTTTCATAAACTTCATCTCCCTTCTACACACAGGACTGGGCTCCTACCTTCAAGCTGTTTGTATAACCTCCAGCTCCTGACTGAACTTCGCGAGCATATTTCAGCACTCTTTCATACAAAACAAGTGCTTCACTCCATTTCTTTACCAGGACATAGGACTGTGCAATGAAGAAACACCTGCAACAGTAAAGAGTGGATCCTTGACATGTGTTATCCATACCCTATCCCAAATCAAATGACTGATAACAGGAAATAATTACTAGGTAGCAATGGCCAGTTTCCCCTTAGCATCCAGTCATTTCACGAAAGGGCAGAGGAAACTGCATCAAAGCCCTGTACAGCACACAGAGCTTTGGAATAACCACCTCTGAAGATATAATACATGCTAAAGAAAACCTGGCTGTTTCTCAGTCACCTGTATGCTTTGTACACAAGCGTCTTCAATCCAATCTCTTTTTGGAAGTTCTTGTCCTCTTCCAGGCCAGGAAGCTGTGTCAGTTCCACAAGGTTCTGTGCAAAAAGAGTCAAGAGTAACAAATGCAAGTGTTGTTTTCCTCTGGAATCTGCTGGAGTAAGAGAAAGCTGCCCCTTTTAACAAGTCAACAGTACACTCCCATGGAAATAGTTTCCAGTTTTCTAATCAGTATGCTAACCTTGAGAAGGACACTCACTGAAACTTGTGCAAGTTTGCCCTCAGGACAGATTTCCCAACACAAGCAGGGATTGGGACAAAGAATCCTCAGATTTGACATGAGAGAATTCTTTCATAAGGCATTTTCCTTTCCCAGTCACAACTGCTTCAGCCACAGACTCCCACAGTTCACTGAAAATTTATGTGAGAAATTGAGAAACTGCTTATGAAGAACAAGTACATTTTAAGTATTTTTAGCTGCTACTTTCTCTGGTGAGCAGAAACTAAGGCAGCTATCAGAGTGCTGTATAAATAGTCAGAAAATTATTTTAAAACTGCATTGGAGTGTACAACTAAGGGCATCCATTCCAGCAGTATTTTCTGTTCACAGTTATAAAGGTTTTTTGGTTTCATGCAGATGTTGAACATTTTCAGCAAGAGCAACTGTAGGTACTCAGTTGTTCTTCAGACTTCACCAGCAGTTCACTAGCACTGCTGTATTTTCCACAGTAACTTTTTGTAACAAAGCTCTCCAGTTAGCATCAAGAACTGACATTTGTTTTCCCAGCTGTACCTGCAAAATGATATCGTAAAGACGGATCAGGTCTTGAGGCCGTGGTGTCCGCTTGCCATCCTCTTCTGACCGTTGCTGCTGCAGCAGTGCCTTCTGCAGAGACTTTGCCATGCTCTCATTGCGCTTGATGGCTGTTGACAGCTTGATGTAAGTTAAATAACTAAAAAGATAAAAGATAAAATACCATTAGCAGACTGTCAGAACTACTCAGACATTACTCTTTGTTCTGAAAAGAACTCCTCCCTTCCAGCCTAAGCTGACACTAGTAGAGGAAAAAACATCCGAAAGGTCAACATGAGAGTCTTAAGTAAAATGTTTTCAAAGCTGCATAAATCAGACCCATAGTCATGATCTGAGAGGCCCAGAACAAAAATTCCATAAACCAAAACCAAACAAAAATAAAATCTTGACATAAGAGCATGACTTCCTCACACTAGTACAAGCAGCAATGTCTGCCTATTACCTGTGTAAGTACTGGATGTTGGACACCTTCCCAGAATCATTTTCCAAAGAGTGTTCCCGCTGCTTCTGCGGAAATTGAACAAAATATTGCATGATTTACTTAAAACTGGCAACTGAGGGAGGAAAACATCAGAAACAACGTGAGGTTTGGGTAAACCAGGGAAGTTATAACAGACTTCTGGGCCAAAGAATGAAGGTTTCTGCACTGCTATTCATCCTCTCCAGTTCTGAAGAGAATAAAATCAAAGGTGATAGACTCTTTTGCAAGTTTACGTTAAAGAAATCCCAACCACTTTTACTGTTACACAAGTTTAGGAATAACAAATCCATCCCAAAGAAACACTACACTGCTGAAAGGAGAAACACTAAGGTCTGCTGCTTACCTGGTCTGGTTTCAGATCTTCCCGAACAGCCTGAATGGCATCTCTACACTCACTGAGCAAAGATTCAAACAAACGTTCCTTTGTCTCCTCATTTTCTGCCTAAGAGCAAATGAAAGTTAGGACAGGTATCTATTAGAAATTTTGTATTTTGCATCCCATGATGGAAGAATTAACTGAGAAGAGTAAACAAAGTTCTTCCCAAATTAGAGATTTAAGATCCATAGGTAACCAGAACTCCAGTCTGTACCAGTCTGCAATATGTTCTAAGGGGCAAACTGCCAGAAATTGCAGGGAATGTTCTCAGTGCCGAGAATTTTCTGCACTGAAGGCCTAGCACACGCAGGTTGACCGTCTCATCCCTGCAACAGATACCTTCTCAGCAACTCCCTTCCCTTCCAGGATAGCACAGTGCTCCAGGAAGAGCTGAGCTTGGACGGCACTGTGGGAAAGGCCCAGCAACAGAAGAGCTGAGCATTACTGAACCGGCAAACTGCCAATGCAGAACACGCTTATTATGCTGATTTAACTTTTCTCATGCAGTAAGAACGTACAGATGATTATCTTCTCTACACTCCCACTCTAGTAATGCGCACAGTGGCAATAATTTGCTTGTTTGAAGCATTTTTAAAAGTAACCCTCTATTTCAGTAGCAGGACTGACCAAGTGCTTTTCTGCTGTCACAGGATTTTTGTCAAAAAAATGAAGCAGCTTTTGGGGCAGCAGGCCCCAAAACAAAGTTGGAAAACAACTTTAAAAAAGCAAGTTGAAGCCTGATCTCTGCATAATGGACTGGTATATCATGTACCCAATTAAACAGCGTACCCAAAACCAAACTCAGCTTCCATTCAGGTGACTGAGAAGGTAACAACATGAGGATCGTGAGACTCTTACTGATTCAGCAAGAGAAAACTGCCCAGAAACAAAACTCAACCTTAGCAACTGAATGAGAGATTGAAGTGTATCAGCACTGTTATACCACTTCCATGTCATGTAACAGCCTAAGATGAATTTTGCTGCAACAAATTCGCAATTGTCTAAGTGAATTAAAAAAAACTGTCTAAAAAGATGCTTACTTGTTTATGTTCAGCAGAACTCTACAGTCTCTGCCTCTCCCCTTTTCAGGTTTGCAAACCCATTAAGGAATGTTATTTTTACTCCCTCAAAAAGCCTCAAGTATCTTGACCTGAGATGAAGACAGTTTTCCATGTTTTATTGGTTTTTTTTGGATCTGCTGCAAGAATTTTTAAGACTAACTACTGAGAATAACTAGAGACAAGTCTGACAGCATTCTCAGCCTCACCCAAAGGAGCACAGCAATTTCACTGTATGCACAAAAATGAAAAGAGACATAGCTAGATCATCAGTCGAGCACAAACAGGGAAAGGGCAGGGCTGTGGAATGAAACAAAGGCTTTACTTTCTAAGCAAAAACTCTTAAGGTTAAACTGATTTGATGTATAAATACACATATATTCTGATTTGGGAGATACCAGATTATAAAACTGAGATACAAGTGCTACAGCTGCTGACTGAAATGTCCTGATAGAACAGTATAGCACCAGTCTTGAATGGATCCAGGGAACTGATCCCACTGAACTAACTTCTGAACATCTCTCATTTCTAATTTTTTAGTAGTTCCAAAACATTGTTTCATCTCTGAAAGATATTACCACCCATTTTTACTACAGTCCTAGTTCACACAGATTACCACAGAATCCTTAAGGCAATACCAGGAAGGAGCACACTTCCATCACTCTGCCCTTTAGCCTTCTCTCTTCTACCTGGTTGGAGTCAACAGGCCCTTGAAGCCACACATGTAAGTCTACCAAAGGGCTGACATAAGTCACTTTAAACTTGCATTTGTATTTCAGTTTGGCTTATTTCTTCTGTTTCTCATGTTACCAGTAAGACACAGAAGACAAAGACATACTTGTGCTGAGAATCTCCATTTTTACACAAAACACACATTTGTGTTTGCTTCTAATCAAACCCTGAAGACCACTGTTGTGACATTAGGTTTTCAACTTTGTGAAGACCAGCAGAAAAGTGCCAAAAATCCCAGGAACCACCAAAACACGTTTAGCTGAAGCTGGACTGCCCATTACAGCTGACACAGCAAGTACAGAACTGCTTTCAAAAGGCCAAATTTTAGCCCTCTGGGAATGTAAATACTGCTGCTGCACACTCGGCTCTCACCATTACTGGTTGTGATCTGGTGCTACAAAACTCCTCTGTTTGGTCAGAGCTTCCAAGGAACACAAAGCAAGAGGAAAACAAATTCAGACCACTGGTCTGCCACAACTACATGGGACAAAGAGGGCAACTGAACTGAAAAGGTCCAACTGCTAGCCTAGCAGGATGGAAATTAAATGAAGTAACATTGAACTCTAAGCTACACTTCCACCTGCTGGCAATACTCATGTACTACTCACAAAAAAATAAATTCAGCAACATACAATTCATTACATTATGCCAAGACTGGTTAAAGCTAATGTTTCCTACCCAGTCATATCCTGTTTATCCTACTCACACCATCTTCTTAACCCTCTCTCTTGTCCGCTTGTCTTACACATTCGCAGGGTTTTCATTTTAGCATTTAAATTGCTATTTATCCTCATTCTGCTGGTGATGTTTTTTGATGCTGCAAAAACGCCCATGTTTAGTGGCAACAGTTGAAATTGATTTACACCCTGACATTTAGTAATTATTCTTGCTTTTCAGAATTTGCATAAGTCAAGAAGAGAGTGCTATAAATCTCATAGCACCCGCCTCACCTGGCAAATTGCTTTTTGTTGCTGAAAAAAGGTGATCGATACATATCTTTTCTCTTTTGGTTGCTCGGAGGTTGGGGCATGTGAGCAAGATATTTAAAGAAATGAGAAGAGTAATTCAAACCCAATTACTCTTAAAATTGCAACTTTCACTTCCAAGTGACTTACAAATAATAACCGTTATTCACCCTATCATTGAAAGGTAGCACTTCAGGGCAGAACAGAGCGTTCAAAAGAGCAGTAATACCGAAGTCCTAGGCTACCACTTAGCAGACTGTGGGAGCTATCCCCAACTGACACTTCAGCTTTGGGTTATAGTCAATATTCCCACTTTTACTTTTAGCCTTCCAATCCCAAGTCTGAGAAAAAATACTATTTAAAAGCTTTTAGTCCAGGTAAGTCATTCTTGCCATCACCCTTTATCCATCTTGCCATCATCCATCTTACCATCACGCTACTTGCATACTGAGGGA